TAATAGACATGTTTGGATATATGAATAAACCACATAAAATTCATGTTTCATAGACTAATTAATGTGTACGAAAGTATATGTCCCAATTAGGCCATGGTCATGTCAAAATCTTTGCATGTATTCACACTTCAAATCAAACTCCAACCATTTAATTCCACTTGTCAAGTATTAAATTAAAGATTAATTATTTTAATATCACTAACCCTTTTTGGGTTCACTTGAAAGACATTGGGTGGATGATAAAGAACCTAAAAAGAAGTAAATTTTAAAGATTATCCTTACAAAACCTACCAACAGAAAGGTGAATTCATATACATATAGTTAAAGATACAACCTCACAAAGGGGAAAAAGAAACTATATATAATAGAACCACAAACTGACATTTAACATTATCTCTAAAATAAAAACTCTTGGGCAAAACTTTTTTGGCGGTTGAAAAACAAATTTTATATTCCATTTATTTCATAAAAAGAAACTATAACTTGCAATTGATATATTTAATATTATTAAATAATAAAATGGGAAATGTCACACTATTTCAACCGAAATTTTACCATTGAACTAAAAACCATTTTTGCTATATATTTTCAATTATTTGATAGAAATTGGGCATTTTAAATAAATATTGCTTCCTCGATTCAAGATAAGATATCACAACTTTCGTGGCAATTTATAAGCTCTTAAAAACAACCATTTGCAACCACAAAAGGATGCCCATTTCATCCTGACATCTCTTAGATACTAACAAGGAGAACCATAAATTAAAGTTCTAGGTTTCACAAACACAACAAATGCCCATCAAATCAAAAAGGGTCCTACTTTAAACACACCAATCTACAACACCAACCTATAATATTAGGTTTACTTTATAAGTTTTTAGGTTAATGATGGTAATTATTATCATTTGACTAACTTTCATTATAACCTAATCATTCCTAATTTTATTATAGAATAATTATTTTTTTATTACTAACTTTATTAATATTATTAAACTTAATTTTTAATTTTCTTTTATTACAAACTCGTTTTTTTTTCTTAAGTCCATACTCCTTTTTTTAGTTCCTTTTTACTTATTTATTTATATTATATTTTCATTTTATATTTAAAAATTAGTTATATGCAACTGTAGTTATTAATTATTTTTTCTCGTGTAACATAAACTACAAATAAACTAATTTTATTTTGGATAATTGAATTGTTTAGTTTAAATATATAAAGTTAGTGATTAAATATAGATTTTAAATTTATTTTTATTAGAACATAAATTACTCAAAGTTATAATCTTTTCAGTAAACTTTTTAAGGATATAACATGTCTTTTAAGATTAAATAAATAAATATAATAATCATTATTAATGTTTCTTTTAAATATATTAATAGTTGTAGCTAATATTATTATCATTACTATTTTGTTAGTTTTTTATTTTTTTAAAAAAATATACAAATAATTGTATACAATAAAAGAAAATAATATTTAAGAAAAAGACGATTGTTTAGTATATTATTAAATATAAATAATTATGATATTTAAATCATTTGAAATGTTGTCAAACTATTGTATATGACAATTTTTTTTAATAAAAATATTAATATTATAATATATTATATAATAAAAAATAAATAAAAACAATTGGAGGATAGAGATCTAAACATAGAGAACCTTAAAAAAACCCCATATGAATATAAACAGTTTCTTGAATTTAGAATTTAAAATGTTATCTCTAATATTAACAAAATCGTATAATTTTTTTTTTCACTTCTTGATTGGTCACAATAAAAAAAAGGACAACAAAATTATATCTCATGTCTCTCCTTCTTTATGCTTACCAAGCAAAGAAAAAAAAAACCGTCTCTTGCTAACCGTAATAAAAAAATAAAGGAGCTTTTTTTATTCTTTTAAATTTTTAATTATGTATTGCAATAACAAAAAAAATGTTTTTATATTCCAGATTAATATATAAAGGAGAGAGAAAGAGAACAAAAGAGAGAGAAAGAAACTTAATTTTTTTGGAAAACAATGTAATCAAAACAATTTATTAATGAAATGATTAGGTAATAATTATATAGTAGACTGGTGTTTGATATAGTAGACCGAGAAGTGATCGTTATCCTATTCTGTTGTGACTATTTTTTTTCTTGGATTTCTAAATCTTTTTACAAAATTTAGAATGAATAGGGTAAATTTGATGAAGAATCCTAAATCATCTGTCTATGAATGTTATTTATTTTTCTTTAATTGCCTTATAGATCATATACAAAACAAAATCTGGATACAGGATTCCCTCTTGTTAGAAGACAATGAATTCAAAGATGGTATCATCATCTTACTCCATTGTTCATAAAAATGGATCATGAAGAACAAAAAAAAGGACCCTTTAACTTCAGTTATTTGACGTGTCATTCTCTTATATTCGTTATTTTATATGTCCCGTTGGATAAAGAAAGTGGCATACGACAATATAGTTCACACGGGTTACTCACTAATATACATATCTGTCTATAAAGGAGGATGAAAGGATATGGGTAGGCCCCACCTCTCTCTCTCTCTCTCTCTCTCTCTCTCTCTCTCTCTCTCTCTCTCTCTCTCTCTCTCTCTCT